AGTGAACACACACACACACACACACACACACACACAGGACTACTACTCAGCCACGAACAAGAATAAAATAATGCCATTTACAGCAACATGGCTGGACCTGGAGATCATCATACTAAGTGAAGTAAGCCAGAAAGAGAACAAAAAATACCATATAATACCACTCACATGTGGAATCTTTGAAGAAAAAAGAAAGGACACAAATGAACTTATTTACAAAACAGAGACAGACTCACAGACCTAGAAAACAAATTTATGGTTACTGGGGGAAAGGGGTTTGAAAGGGATAAATTGGGAGTTCTAGATTTGCAGACACTAACTACTATAAATAAAATAAATAAACAACAATTTCATACTGTATAGCACAAGGAACTATATTCAATATCTTATAGTAACCCATAATGAAAAAGAGTATGAAAATGAATATATATTTGTATATATGTGACTGAAACATTATGTCGTACACCAGAAATTGATACATTATAAACTGACTACACTATAATAAAAATAAATAAAAATTTTTTTAAAAGATGACTTCCTGAATCTGTCTAGGCTCTTGGTTTCAAACTATAGGAACCAATTCTGGCAGATGTAAGCAAGGTAAGAATTTATTGAAAGGATGTGTTGGTAGCGCAGATTCTCCAGGAAAACTAGACAAATACACTGACATAATGGTAGGACCAGGAGAAGTGAAGTTGCCAGGGCCACAGCTAAAACCCACTGCCCCTACCCCTAAACACTGAAAGCCACCACCACTGTTGCTCACTTGGTCCTCAGTGCTGCCACTGTTCCTGTTTCTTCACTAGCTCCAGATCCAGGTCCAAGCCAGGGGCACCCGACTGGCTGGGCCAGGGATCTACTCACGCCCACTCTACATCAAAAAAAGCATAAGAGATAAACAAGATTACACTGTATAGCACAGGGAAATATACACAAAATGTTATGATAAATCACAGAGAAAAAAATGTGACAATGAGTGTGTATATGTCCATGAATGATTGAAAAATTGTGCTGAACACTGGAATTTGACACAACACTGTAAAATGATTATGAATCAATAAAAATGTAAAAAAAAATTAAAAAAAATATGAAAGCAGCCATGGATTATAAATGAATGAATAAAAAAAAAAGCATAAGAAAGGAGCATCTGGTCTTTTCTATCTCCCCCCTGGCTTCCACAGTGGGGTGTCATCACAATGAAGTGTCCATTTCACGTTGTTCCCCAATGATCCTGAACAGCTGAACCCATATGCCCCTCAGATGTAGAAGATCTGAACCCCAAATCAATGTGGAAGCCCCTGGGGGCTCTGCCAAAGAAGAGCTGCTGAAGGCAGGAAAGGCCTCCTTGTGAGGAAGAAATTAGGAGCAAGAATGAGAAAGCTGGAAGCTAGAACACTCCGTTACACCATACACAAAAATAAACTCAAAATGGATCAAAGACTTAAAACGTAAGACAAGATACAATAAACCTGCTAGAAGAAAATATAGGCAAAACATTATCTGACATACATCTCAAAAAATGTTCTCCTAGAACAGTCTATCCAAG